TGTTAACTTTTTTATGTGGAAAATTTTATATACAAATTATGTATCCAATCTTAGCAAGTTGTGCATAATTTGGCATAATTATACGCACAAATTCCATGCATAAAAACCGGCCAATTCTATGCAGGACCATTTTCACCAAAGAGAAGAGGCTATATATGTATAAAAATCGGGATTTTTCGGTCACACAATTTACAGACATCCCTCTGCTACGTAACATGAAGTAACTAAATTCAAATTCAAAATAAGATTGAAGACAATCAGCCTGGAACTCGGGAAAAAATCAAATAAAAAATCTCAGACACAAAATTACATAAACTGATCGCCGAAGGATGTGTGGAATTTTTAGCTGTATAGTATTTTTCAATGACAGGTAATTAATGATGTTCATACATACATATGCACAGATTGTCGAGTTTTGTGAAATATTTGTAATTTTACATGTAAAATTTTGTCTCATTAATTCGTACTAACCATTTATGTACAAATGTTCCAGAATAAATTGGAACATTTTTGTTACATGTCTGGTGCATTTTCTTCCGGCATCGAAATTGTCAAAATTTTTTTTTCTGTCGCATTTTACAAGAACGCACACATGTCTGTCCCATCCAAGCCTGTATAAATAAATACGCAAATTAAGGAAATGGAGGATTCCGAAAAACTGGTAAAAGTGGAATGAGCAAAAAATATTAAAACCACTCACACCGCATTCCCTTGCCTTTTCCTTGATAGTTGAAGCAGCCTACTCACATCACAGTTTACATGGTTAAAGCGGAAGCGATACAAGTATGGTTGGAATTTTTAGTAATATGGAGCCAAGTAAGATTTCCGAATCATAAATCTGGACTAATCGACAAGGCTTTGACGCCATTATTAGACGCAACCAGGGTTTCATGAAATCTGTTCGAAAGTTGTTTTCTAACATTTTAGGCCTTTTAAGATGGCCTTATAGATTTACCAAGATGTCTGTCCGTCCGTCCGTCCGTCTGTGCATCCGTCTGTGCGCAGGATAACTCTCGTTAAACACAAGCAATCGACTTGAAATTTTGCACACTTATTAATCTTCGGGTCAAAAGTAAGGATGAGTTCGGAGATGGGCATGATCGGCCAAGTGGTTGACCGGTGGGGGTCATTTCCACCCAAATGTGTTGCCATTAACTACCAAGATGGTATTAATGCTATCTTAAAAGGCCCCACAAAGTTACTTGGAGTAGGTCTCTGGTATCATTTCAATAAAACCACGGGCACATTCACGGTTCTGCTTACATATTATGTATATAATTATACGAATTTATTCTGACATATTTAAATACGGGTCAGCTTTTCGTGGTGGAGAATACACATGCACGTAACTAATTATACAATGTACAAGAATCTTATTGAGTAACAGAAATTATTTACAAAACAAAAATTATTAGTTCAAATTTATTTCCAAATAGATTTAATCCCTTTGATTTAATCCCTTTGATTGATTATCTTAAATTTAAAATTAAATTAAATTCAGGCATTCTCTGACGAAGCACTGTCAAACAAATAGATGGTACAATGACACCGGACCAAAATAAATTTATGTAGCCATCCAGGACTCGGATTTGGTTCAGTGCGTTCTCAAGTCTAGACTTTGCAGGTGCTGGAAATATTCAGTTGGAAAGCAAGAAAAATATCTGGAATTATTTCCGTAAGTGCAAAACCATAGAAATTTTTAATGCTTTAACCTCTTAACGACGAAGTACATACATTTGTGTAGTTATTTTATTTTCCGTTCACGGCGAAGTACACACATTTGTGTAGTATTATATTTTTCCGTTCATGACGAAATACACAAATGTGTGTACTGCAGAAATTTCCTTGACACCAAAATTTCTTTAAAAAAAGAATATTTCTTCGGTATTTTCTGGAAAACTCGATGATGAAAGTGGATTTTTTTCGATATTTTTCACCCAAAATTTTGGAATTTTCCCTATACCGACCAATGTTAAAAGTGTGCTTTTCGTGTTTTTCGTCAAAAACTCGAGTTTTGCAAAGTGGTAGGAAATTTTAATTGCTATCAGGTATAATTATTTTTTTTTAAATCGTACTAAAGGGAAATTTTATTTAAAAATTGGAAGTCCGAAAGAGGTTAATGAATTTTTATCATACAAATGTTCACTTCATAAACCTTCTAATTAAGTTGACAGGAATCGTACAGAGATTTCTGCGGAGTTTTCAAGAATTAATTTCCAGGATTTACGGTGAGTTCTCTTAATTTATCTGAGTTTAAATCTAATAAATAATATACGCAGAATTCAGAAATTAATGCACTCATGAATTAGGGTAAATATGCTAGGGAACGTAGCTCTGATCTTCGTAAATTCAACCAAGTTTGACCAAAGTGAAAGCATTTTTATGTGAATCGGGGTCTTCACGTCAATATGATGGCATTGTACCCTGCACTGCAAAATACAACCTACATTTTTCATAGTCTACAAAATCTAGCAAAATATTGAATCGTGAATCATCAATCTTTTCGTGAATCGTGTGGAAATGTATACATGTGCATTTCCACACATGATGAAAATATAAAACAAAAACCATTAAGTGCATAAAATCACTGCCTTTTCTTAGACACGTGGACTTACAAAATTACAGGGAAAGTTTTTAGGTGATAAAAAAAATCAAAACTGGATTTACGCTAATGTACATATTTCCATACATACATACATCCGTATCCACGAACATTTGGATACCTCAATTATTAAAGAATTTAAATAATATTCGTCCCATTTACATTCATTAACATTTTTAACCATTAAAAATCTAAATGATCAGGGTCGCTCAAAAAATTATGATTAACTTAAAACCTCTCCCACATCTTGTATATGTATTCAGATCATACATGTTCACATTCATTCATTTTATGATGAATGAATATTTAATGAATATTTTATTCTGATTGTTGAATAAATGAATATTGAGTGAATATCTATTCAATTCGTGTGAATGAATAATGAATGAATATTTTTTCATCATTCATTTTTAAATCAATGCTTAATACATAGGGAAAGTTAAGAAATTCATCTAATACTGTGAATTTTGAATAACATGAATAATGAAGGAATGAATGAATAATGAATAAATGTTGAATAATTAATGAATATTTTTTTTACAAATTATGAATGTTGAATAAGGAATAAATATTTTTTTCAAGGCTTTGAATGAGCGAACTTTGAATGAATAAATATTTTTTAACATGTATGATTCAGATGTCTGGCGCAAAGGTCGAATTCCTCTTCAGGTGCGTGAACCACAAGGCGTTTGGGCCCAAATCGGTCAGCTCCTACTTCACCAGGATTGACTGCCCCCTCGAACAAGATCCAATCTGCCCTGCAACTTTATCTCGGCTGGTGGACGCTCTCCTCCTCTGGTGTCGCGACTACTTTCCCGATGTCCAACAAAATCCACATTATTACAAGGAGACAGCCCTCGCCTCAATATACTACATCTGTTATGGTAACCCCTTGTGTAGCGTGACCTCTCCGGAGATGGACATCGCCATCAAGTTTGCCATGTGGCTCTGGCTCTTTGACGATGCGATGGAAGACCTTACCCGCAAAAACATCGACCCCTCAGTCTTTAAGGAGGAAACGGATCGTATCGGGAAAATCACGCAGGGGTGTTTCGACCCTCAACGAGCCGCTCCTCCCCCACAATGTCCCGCCCAGACCACCCCACCCCCACCGAGTAAGGACGATGTGCAAACCTTATTCTGGAATTTTGGCAACTCTCTCTACGCCTGGCATCAACTGGCTGGTCGAGCCATTATGGAATACTCGCGTAAAATGAGACGTTTTAACGTCTGCATGGCCACCTATATGCAAGCCCTGCAGTGGATGAATATTTGCCATATTGACGGCAGATATTCGGAAACGACTTTTAAAGCTTTTAGAAAGCCAAACTCTTATTTTTGCGGGATTGCGGAACTGTTAGCGGTACTAAATAATGTCGACCTTGGCGGCAACGGGGTTGAGGATGGGATGATTTTCAACCGCGTGGTCGACTCTTTAACAAGCATAGGGGCCTTCACGAATGACGTGCTCGGTCTGAAGAAAGACTTCAAGCCGGAGGCGCACGATAACCTCGTGGTTTTTAAGGTTATCGAAAAAAATAAAAAACTCGAAACTGCCGTGAACCAGGTGTGCCATCTCATTTCGGAAGAGGTGGCCGACTACGGGCAACTTAAGAGGGTGCTCCTCCATCAAACGGGGGAAAATGAAGGGGTAGAAAAATATTTGCAGGTTTGGGAGGCCTTGCTGCACGGGCATCTTCGCCTGTACGCGGAATGTACGAGGTACCGGTGTTGTGGGGAGGTTACCATTAATTAGGGATTAATTGTATGAAATTTCGAAACCCGATTTTTTTTAATTACGGAAAGGGTGGGCAAGAAACTATTTAATTTAATATTTAGTTTGGAAATCCGAAATTTTTTCTGTCCAGCCCAAGTTTGTGAAGTTACTGTGAAGCTACTTCTAAATTAATTGTCTTGAAAAAAATCACAAATTCCAAAATATATTTGAAATTTTTGATAATGGTAAAAAATCGGTTCAAAACACTCTAAATTTCACTAAATTACCGCGTAGTCCCTTCGTACTCGCACCAACGAAAGATGATAGCCTTTTCAAAAAATGCAACCTACTGGTCAGGAAATTGGACAGTAGTACATGAGTTTGAACTACATGGAAATTAATGTTACCATTTTACAATTAAGGTGACTAACTTACAATGGAGACGCAAACCATGTTCAGCCCAGATTATTTTTTGACCATGTTAGTTTGAAAGAGCAAGTCTTTAGAAACAACATTTGGTCCGGCACTTGCGCAGATGCGCAAAATTCAGCACGTTATGGGCGCCGGAAGTTCGCAAAAACGCACGATTTTTCGGGCAATGCCCAGCGCGAGCTCAACTTCGTGCGTTTTTGCGAACTTGCGGCGCCCATAACGTGCTGAAATTTGCGCATCTGCCCAAGTGCCGAACCAAATTTTGTTTGTATAGACTTGCTCTTTCAAACTAATAAGGTCAAAAAATTATCTGGGCTGAACATGGGTTGCGCCTCCATTGTTAGAAGCATGGTGACTCGATGGGGCAAAAGACGGCGAAAAAATTATTCCACTTGTTAAAGTGTAACAATGTTTGTTACCTGTTATGCAAAGCTCGGTAAAAATTTACAAAACAAGCAGAGCAAATTGTGTGAATGAGTGCAATCCTATCATCAAAAATTCAATAGCTATTAATTTTATGTTCTTAACGATATTTGTACAAGTCAGGATGTGTGTTATTTATTAAAAGTGTAATACATACATATGCATTTTTGGCTCAATTTGAGTATTAATAAACATATGAGTTTGATGTGAGTATTTCATGTTGCGTTTGAAGGAAATGAATTTGAAATGTAAAAATTAATCGGATAGCTGAATTTTAAATCTGTCAATTTTTTAGGTGGTAATCGATCCCTTAAACTCGTGGCACCTCGGTAAAATTGGAACTTTGTACTGGATCATAATAAAAACTGTGGTCACTTTTATTTAAATTGACAGATTGAAAAATTATAATCATCGAAAATATACTAAAAACGGCCATTTTTGAATGTATGCATGTATTCCAATTTATGGTTTGAGGAAATCTGTAATAATCAGTGCACGACTCGAAAAGTCGAACCCGCGCCGAAACCACAGAAATTGAACTCCCGGGTTCGAACTCGGATTGGAGTGAAGCCGAACCAGGAAACCGGGTTCGAACCCAAACCCGTGCCAAGTTCTGGTAATAACTATTCGCAAATTTCATCCGAAGGACGTTTTATGTATAATCTACATAAATATATGACAATGCCTTGTTTGTCTTAAATTAGCATAATCCAGCAATAAAATAAAATTTGGTGACGAGGCAAACGACAAATTGAGGGAGATGGACCGATTACCTTTTGTTAACGGGCTTAAATAATAAATTATCAAAGTTGCAGTATTTATTTCCTCCTTTATTTTTTACAGACGCCCGATTCTCCAGCCCCCGCGCCAGTCTCAACGCCCGTGCCAACAGGAAGCGTGGTAAGTGACTTCCCACTAAAAATCTCCGAAAAAAGACCCATCGACAAACTTGAAATGGAGGTCTCCAAACATCTGCTTTGCAGATTTTGACCAAACTAGTGTCAAATTTAATTAGTATGAAATTTGCAAACCACACGATTTCTCAATGTGCACGTTTTGGGGAGATATTTGTATCCGAAGAGGAGAAAACCTGTCGTAAAGGTGACAAATTTTACACTTGCCGAAACATCGCGTTTCCGCCAAACATGTCCGTTGGAAGATTATGTCGTTGCCTAATTTCATATTAATTAAATTTCCGATTGACAGTGATCGATTGACACTGATCTGATCAAATTTTATTAGCATACGCTGGGACACCTCAATTTTCGAATTAGAATATTTTAAACGAAACAATTAGAATATTATTTAGAATATTTGACGAAACTTATGCATTTCAGCGCTCTCATGCTCGCCGTACTCGGATTCCTTCGACATCAACTCCATGATCCGGTTTTCGCCTTGCTTGGTGTCCTTAGTCAATGGGTCCAGAGGGTCTTCGGCCGCCAGCGGGTCGTATGGTCATCTCTCCGCCGGTAAATATAATCCATTCACATTCATGCATTTCTAACTTTCTATTATGTTTTATTGTCTGCTTGATCCCATAATTTATTATTTCGGGACATTGCCACAAGTTCCATAATCTTGTCCGGAGAAGAAAAGAGTCGGAAAATTGGACGCTGCTCCTGTTTCCGTGTGAATGTCTTCCTCCCATTCTTTTCAAAGCGAGTCTTAATTTTCTCCCCGTCCGCAATGGACGCGTATGCAAATGGAGGGAGGAAGAGATTAGGTGATGGATGTGATGACGGCTAATTTTCCGTCGTTGTTAGTCCACGGTTTCATCAAAGGATTAAAAAGTCATCGGTCCCTCTTTACAAATTAACACGGTCCGATGATGAGACAAGTATTCATTCTCGGATTAAAAACTTCGAAATGACCGTGAATCCATTATTTGGAAGGAGTACGGACAGTTACATCTGCATATTCGCTCCACATACATACGTTCATAAAGAAGTAGCCTGCAGTAGCGGACATTATTGTATGAACATGCCAGTGTTTCGTTAGTGTATAGTGCATAAAAGTGCATTACATAAATGCACAAAATAAATAAAAAGCCATAAAATTGAATGAAACGCTATTAATACAGGGAATTTCGTAGTTTCCAGAAATTATAAATTTTCCTACTATCTCAAAGATAATATCCGGTTATCTAACCTTCTAAACTGATTGGGAACCTTATAAAAACACTATTTTCTTAATTTCTTAATTACTCAAATATTTAGAAAAATTTACAATATTAAAATATTAGGTGTTTACAAAATGTTGACTTTTAAGTGTACCGACCACTTATAAGTCGTTTCCACTTTTAAGTGACACTGCGCGAGCATGCGCAGTAGCTAGTATTTCACTTATAAGTGATCGGAAAATAAGTCTCCTGGATTGATTTTTTCTGGAATAAGACACTTATTTCGCTTGTTTTGAGCATCAGCTGCCGTTGAAATTTCACTCACTCAAATTTGCTGCAGGGCACTTGCTGCTCAATAAATTATTTTTCAATCGAGTTTTAATCCGTATTCAAGTTATTTAAAATGGTGCATAATTGAAATTAGTTTAATTACGATAGTGCAGTGAAATATTTAAAATGGGGAGTTCAAATGAGAGTGAAGATTAAATTTTCAATCATTCCACTTCATAAATATCATGTAATTGATATATTAGGCAAGAATTGAAAGGTTGTACCTATTGTTGAAGTTTTAGGTCTTTTTAAAGCTACTATGTTTGTTTTTGCAATGATTTTGACGTTTAATGGAATTCGGTCGCCTGAATTGCATGCAACATAAAATTTAAACAAAAAGTGGAGCATTCAAATAGAACCCACTTATAATTGATTTATAGAAATGACTTATAATTTGTGGGAAAACCAAAATAAGTCGATTGTAAACTCCTAATAATTTGACGCCTTCAATTTTGCAAAATTTTAGACAATAATTTGATTCTTTAAATTTTCTGAAATTTTGCCAACTTTTTGCCCAAAATGCTGACCGATCGAGCAATTTCTGCTGTGCATTGCCTCCTCGACGTGGGGAGTGGTTTGAAACTCTTCCCCTTCGATTGGGATCCGAAAGAAAAATGTGTCAGAAGGGCCGGAAAACGGCACCGGTTTTATTTCAAAATTCATAAATTTATAAACATTGCGATGAACGTTTTTGCCGCGGTGAGACTCGTGCAAGCCTTGCACAGGGGGAAATTCCCCCTGCTTTTACGCGTACTAAACACCGTGTGGATTTTTGCGTATACGTTGACCATGATCTGTTTCGTCCAGTTTGATAGGAAGGAGGGTGAAATTTTCAATTTGTTAATTGCTTGCTCGCTTATGTGAAACGGACGTCGAAAAAAGGTGAGAATACACTCTTAGAAATGGGGTTACGATTACAACAAAAAAGTAAACGTATGTGACGCTACCACCGTGGTTATGAATTTGTCATCGAGTGGTTACAATTGTCACTGACTAATTATAAAGTTTCACCGAAGTAGTATTAAACTGTCACCAGAGCTAATAAATTTATAACTTAACCACGGCGGTAGAGTCACATACGTTTACTTTTTGGTTATAATCGTAACCCCATTTCTAAGAGTGTACTTAAGGTTCTATTGGGTAACGAGTTGATTTGGTATAGATTTTAATGTTACTTTGCCCGTATTCAATTTGTTTAAATAAAAATTCCTAAAATGGCATCAAGTTCACGAATTTTTAGAATAAATGCAACTTTTCATACGGTAATGTAAAGTTAATTTTTGATACTACCAAAATATAGATTTGAAAAACTTGCCAACTCATTTATCATTTTTTAGCAATAAATTTCCTGAAGTTAAATCTCTAATTTTTTCAAAAATTTACTTTACTTGAAAGTATGAAAAGCTGCGTTTATCCTAAATAATGACGCTTGAGAAATTTGCATAATTTCTCTCGAACTCATTTCAAACCGAAAATGTATGAATTTTTTAAGAAGCCTCCAATAATTTCTTTATACAAATTTTAATTGAAAATGTGGATGATTTTGGTTGCAAAATTGAAATATTTTTGCGAACGCTTTCTTAAGCAAAATATCTATGTAAATATAATTTTCGGTAGATCTGGATTTTCATACTTCGAAAAATTTACAACTTCATGTTATATTTCCAGTTTTGCCAGATTATTCTGCTCCTCCTCAGTTGAAGCTGCCCAATAATAACGAGCAAAGATTGACACGATTAAGTATTCAATTTGACATCTTGGAGGAAAAAGGAAAGCCGGATTTCGTCAATACGTCACAAGTCGACCATATTTTGACGAATAGCGAAATCCAAGCGTCGAGAAGTCCAAGTCGAAAAAGTGTCGACACTCCACGTTGGGATGACGTTACATTTTTCAAAACTGAAGAAGAGGACAAAATCGAGTCCGCAAATTATGACGACGTGCCAAAAAATGTGATCCCAAAAATTGAAATTAAACCTGAAGAAGAAAAGGAGTCTGAAATGGAGGAGGTCATGGAGGACGAATTAAGGTGCGATTGGATGGCGATTTTATTTGTTGTGTCATGGATTTTTAATCTCACTCTACCCCGATTAAATCTCTTTAAGTGCAAATTTCTAAAGTTTGCAGATTTTGATTAAAATTTCAGAGTTTGAAAATTTGAGTTTTCAGATAAATGCAATTTTTCAAAATTTCATGTAATGTAAATTTACTGAATTTTTGTGTAGTAAACTATACAAAATTCTGTTAGTTTTCAACGTCACAATGCAGTTTTTAAGAAAAATGTTGATTTAAATACGTGCAAAGGTACAGTTTGGTTTGTTGTGCAAGTTAAGGTCAAATCTTACTTTTTTTAAATATGATTCAAAAATCGCATGCATACTTTTTTTACTTAAGGTTACATGAGGATTTTCTGCGTCATAGATTTGAAATCTCGCTTTACCCCTCTTGAAGTGCAAAATTTCTAAAGTGACACAAATTTCATGAATTTTCAGATAAATGCAGTTTTTCATATTTTTATGTAAAGTTAACTTTTAGTACTAAAAAAAGTATTTAAGGTATTCAAGGTATTTTAAAAACCTGCTAATTCATTTGAAATTTTTTCACATTAAATTTCTCCAAAAATAAACTCCATGATCTTTTTCAAATCGATAGTTTTGAAGTACCAAAAATTAACATTACATTAAAATATGAAAAATTCCAAAATTCATGAAGTTGATGCAATTTGAGAAATTGCATGCAAAGAGATTGAATTGGGGTAGACTGAGATTAATGGGTTATAACGGCCTTATTCCACGTTAAGGTCGAATTCCGAACGTGACTCTGCCGCCGTGACGAAGTCCGTGTCACGCTACATTCTCGTCGGGATGTTGATGTTGGCGGGAAATCCGTTTGTACACATTTTACTTGTGGAGGAGAGCCCTTGCACGCCAAATTTCATCAGCTCTCTCTTCCTGCCGTGTGAAGGGTTCAAAAATCATGGCGTTTCCCTCCTTCAAAAGGCGCCCTTCATCGGGGTCGAGTATTACTTGACGACGGTTATTTTCTTCTCGTGGTCATTTAACTGGACCATAATTTATTTGGGGATGTCCTGGATCATTGCGGAACTTAGAGTTATGTCGTAAGCATACCTGTTCAAAAATTCATTTTTCATTCATACAGTTTAAATCATTCATCCTGATTTCCGACGGAAGATTTTCCTTCACATTCAGTCATTTTCCGTCAGACTCATTTCATTTCACTTCATCTGCCTTCATTCCTACTTCACCCCATGTATTAAGCATATTGAAAAAATGAAAGCAGTGAGATATCCATTCATTCACATTCACTCATCTGGAATTATTGAATCCTTCTATCATTTTCATTGAACTGAAAGAAAATTCATCTTCACTCAATATCATAATCAGTCAAATGAATGAAGTGTGCAGGTATGCTTGAAAGAATAAATGCAATGCAAAATCCCCAGAGTACTATTTGGTTTATAAAAAAAAGTCGTAAAAATCTGTATTCTCTACTAGTCAATTTATTTCAATAATTTCGTTTGACACTCAAAATCTTAGATAAGAATTGGCTGCCCAATTATTGGGCACGAATCTATCATGTTTTTAAGTATTAAAATTTTCTAGAATGTTTTGTTTTGGTGTCAAACTCTTACTTTTTAAAACGTGTATGATTTCCTTCGTAAACCTTATCCAATCGAGATTAAAATTAATGTCATCCCAATTTCTGAGTGAACATCTCCAGTTTCGGAGATATTTGCATCCGAAGAGGGAAAACAAGGAGTATTACATATTTGTTTGCGAATTTTTTTTTTTGCGACTGTATTTTGCTCAAATTGAGGTCACGAGTGTCAATTTATAGTTATATCGCTTGGATTATCGTATTTGACAAATATCGCAAATACTGTAGTTTTCGCAAACTTTTTGCAGGGAAGCTTTATCCACAAAGGTTGAATCCTCCGTGCATCAGTACCGTTCCATCGAGTGCATCGCGACCTTAATGAATGACGCATTTTTCATGTACCTTTCAACGTTTCCGAACCTTCTCTTCGCCATCGTGTCCATTCTGATGTTTAGCTTCATACGCATTTGGCACTACTCACCCAGATCCAATCTCATGTTGTAAGTCTTGGCTAAGCATTTTGATAATAATAAAAATCTCACATTTTACTATTACACAATGGAACCTTTTTTCAAGCTACAACGGAATTTTCTAACAAGTTATATCAAAAAATCGAGCCAAAAATTAGGAACCACACACATGACACTTATAATTCCGTTGAATGGCCCCTTTCAAGAAAAATATTGGTGGTCAAAGTACCCACGAGCGCCTTGGTTTTCGCTTCGTGGAGAGAAAGGGAGAGAAAGTTTGCTAAAAAATTGAACTTCATTGCAAATATTTTTTCTTCAAAGGGACCATTCAAAGGAAAGATAAGTGTCACGTGATTCCTAATTTTTGGCTTGATTTTTTGACATAACCCGCTAGAAAATCCCGGTGTAGCTGAAAAAAGGTCAGTAAAACTAACTTGTATGATTTCCGAGTCTTTGTTAATTTCTTAAACTTTGATTTTGACAACAACGCATCTAATTAAATTGCATCTTATTTTAATTTGTATATTAAACATTTTTTCGACGTTATGCTTTTACATGTTGCGACCAGATTTGTAATTCATATGAAATTTTGTATTAAGCAGTGTAGCCTGAAAAAAAGTTCCATAGTTAATTAAACTGTATTTAACAGTCCGCTGTGCGGGATCCGGTGCGCTTTCGAGGCCGTGACCCCGCTGGCCGTGGCGGGCGACGTGAACGACCAGAACAAGGAGGTCGTCGCCAAGTGGAAGCAGGGCGTCGTGGCGCGGAGGGGGTCGAACAGGGCGAAAAAGGAGGCGATCGCGTACCAAAAGTCGTTCCACGCGGTGCGCTGCACGGCCGGGTCGTTGTACACGTTCGAAAACTCCATCGTTCTCTGCTGTCTGAATAATTGTATGCAGTTGACGCTCAATTTATTCCTCACGTTTAAATAGAGAGGAGAAAGTTGCGTGAAATTTGTGTTAACAATTTTGGGCGAGTAAAAAAAATATAAAAGTAAATAAATATGTATGTATGACCTGTGACCAATTTGTTCAAAATTTGGCATGATTTATTTATACCAACAATTTTCACCCACCCCTTTCACATGTCTAAGTTTTGTACAATATGCAGCTCAGGCTCATTTTTATCCACAATTTTAAACAGTGAGAGAAGGTTACATGCAATTTGTGTGGACATATGTAATAATTTTGAGCGAGTCTGTAAAAGAATAAATAAACAAATACATAAACGTGACCTGTTTTTCACCCTATTTTTCATACTTTTCACGAATCATTTTCTAATTACTGATTATATTGTTTTACATTTTGGTATTTTTGGTTGGACAAAATTGTTTGCAAATTTTAATGTTGCGAAAAATATTGCTTTTTGTTGCAAAAAAATAAATTTTGGTTCGACACTTACCCATTATAACCCAAACGTTTAAATAGCGAGTTAAGGATTTATTAAATTTGAGCGCTTTTATGATTTTCAGTTTGGCGAAAAATGTGCATTTTTTTACTTTTAAAAAGCGAGTTAGGGATTTTTTAAATCTGAGTTTTTTTTATGATTTCTACTTTGTGAAAGGTATGTATTAAATTTTGGTGGTTTTAAGATTAAATTGAAGGTTTATTCCGTAGTTAAAATGCAATTAAAACTAAATTTTGATAACTTCTTTGTCAGCATTAAATCGAAATGGTTAGTGATTTACTCGAGCAATTAGGGTCAAATTATTAACTTAATTTTTAGTCGTGGCGAGGAAGACACGTGCGGCGAAACGAGGTGATCGTGTATCAAAAGTCGTTTAAAAATTGAGAAAATTTAACGCCATAAAACAAATTCGGATGGATTTTAATAGTTAAAATTGTAATGGATCGTCAACCTTTACAGAGGTGGCCAAAATCCTTTGCTGACCAATGTAACCTAAACAAAATGGAGTATTTTAAGCTCGGTTCTTCTTAGGTTTTGGATTTCTGGGGTTGTTACACCCAGAAAATGGCGAAAATCTACCTCGAAAAGACAACAGTCAGTCGAAAATACATATGTATTTAATAATCCGGTAAAATCACGCAGGTAAAGATTTCTCGGTAATAATATTTTACCAGGTAGTAAAAATTCGTTACCATGATGGTAAAACTTTATTACCAAGTCATTACCACACGGTACAACGTATCATTATCACTTTGGTAGTCATATACTTGTGCTTTTCGGTAACGTTTATTACCAGATTATTTACAGTGCAGGTTTTGCGAAGCAATTAACGTTTCATCGCGGTCAAAATACATTGTTATCACGAAGTTTAAACATACAGAATTTTGACGATAAAAGTTCAATTTTCTAAAAAAAACTCGTATTTTAGACTAACTTGTCAAGTCGGAGTAACTGTCACATAAAACTCAAGCTTGTAGAATAGAGTAACTCGAAATACTTCAATTTAATAAAACACATCGCGGGTAACAATATATCTAGCATACATATTTTAAACAATTGCAATTCTCGAGAATTTTTTCTGGTGTCAAAGTTAGCAAATTCTGACAATTTGATAATTTTCAGAAATGTTTTTGTTTTCTGAGGAAATTGATTTTATATCGCTATCAAAATATGTACTTCATGGATGCCGGAAAACATGGTTAGAGGAGAAATTCAACTTGTTTTTTTAAACTAATTTTAATTATGAACTTTTAGATACAATCAGTTCAATTTTCATTACGGTTGAAGGAAAAAAACTAACATGTTTTTCAACTAATTTTAATTGTTAACTTTTGATGTAATCAGTTAAATTTTCATTACTCGGACGGATCCAGGGAACAGGGACGATTAAACATTTGTCCGCCGGAACGAATCCATTTGTTGCCACTGCAAAAATAAAAGTGAAAGTTGTAAATTTTACTTTCACTCGGGGAAAAATATTTCAGTCATAGCTCGCAATGGACAATGGACCATGGACAACAAAAAAATTGGTCCATAAATGGACCATGTACAATTTACTGCGAGCTATGATTCCAGTTATCAATTAAAAAAATGAATTAAACACTTTACATAACTTAAAAATATTGAGTCTTTTAAATTCATTTTTTATATTTCAGAAATATTTTTCCCCGACTGAAAATAAACATTTACATGTTTCAGACATCATAACTGCAAACATTTTTATAACTTCCTTACTTTACAGATATTTCAGAGAAATCTACACGAGTTCATCTGAAAATATTCATTTTGGAATTTTTTATTTTGCTATTTTTATTTTGCTAATTTTATTTTCCGGCTTCGAAGAATTACATGCATGTGAGATAATTGCGTTGTGCGCAAATACTATTTAAATCAAGACGCATTACTCGATGTCTCATCGTCAAAATCAACACATTTTTAATCGTTTCACTCTTCTGGGAATTTATTTTAAAATTCTGAACAACAAATTTGCAGTCAGTGAGTTTTTTTAATGGGATGAGTTTTTTCAACCATTTTTGATGAGTTCCAATTTTTCTAAAGGCTTCTTAAACTTGAGAAATCCTCCTTCAAAAGTGTCAAAATCTGGAGTGTATATATTTAAAAAGTTGGTAACTCACTGCTCTTCAAATTTTTCGTTCACAATTTTATAATAAATCCCAAAGGCGAAAAATGATTAAAAATGTGCTGATTTTGCCGATTTTGGTGGTAGAACATCGAGTCCTGCGTTAAGTAGTAAGTGCAAATTCATTCAAATATTTTAAACTGCGCAGTGTAATATGTGTGATTCTTCAAAGCAGGAAAATAAAGGTTTCACGACAAAAAATATAAGCACATCATTTCAGATTCAGTTTGTTTGTAAATAAATTAAAGTAAAATTTCACTGAAATGTTTGTAAAGTTCGCAAGTTACGAAAGATGTATGCAGTGAGCATGTCTGAAATATGTATTTTTTTTGTTACTCAGGGAAAAATATTTTAATTCTACTGCACCGTTTTTTATTGGTTACAAATTCAGTAAGTGAGCAATTCGCGGATTAAATGGTGTAAGATTTGCAAAATTACGCAATTTAAGGAACCCTGACGTGCTGGATTTCTATTCTTTAGTTTTAATTGTAATTTTTGTTGACGAGGTAATCAAGTTCTAAATTTCAAAACTCAGAATATATTCTGATCTGAAGTATAATTCAAATTTAATCTACCCGAATTTTGCTGATTGTTGTTCAAGCAAAATGTGAATCAAAATTCAGCTGAAAAATTCCCGTAGATAAAATTTGTTAGTCAATTTTTGGAAATTTAAACCCTGTGTACGAAAATTACATCCAAAATAAAGTATTTAACCCTTTTGAAGAGTAAAATACGTAAAGCATATTCTAATTTTTAAAAGTAAATCTTTAACGTCGAAAACGAAAATTTTAAGAATAAAGAATGTCTAAAGTAGTAATTAGATACAGTTTATTGAAAAAATGGATTTAAGAAAATTGTCAAAATTTAAAAAACAAGTTTTTCAAAATCTTATAACAGATTGACAAATTGTGTACCACATTTGAGCCTCTAGTTTTTAAGAAGATGGTAATTCTTTAAGGTTGGAAAATAATACTTTATGAACATAAAGAGTATTTAAAGTAATTTTGAGATTGAAAATGAACGGTAAATTCAGAAATTCAGAAATTTCAGGAACCCAATTTAAGAAAAAAATCCTTTAAATTCCAACCAAATTAATAAATTATGTAATATCGCAGAGTCTGGTGGTGGCAGCCAACAGAGAAGCATCGAGTCCGACTGACAAGGGACACTCACGACCTGTCGTTTGAGTCCAGGGTACCCACATGTTTTTTAGAATCTACTAGGACCCCAGATGAAGGATCATTCATATTTCCGTGTAAAACTCATATTTGGCGTGGCGTGGCGCCAAACTTAAAAATTTGCATTTTCGACCAATTTCAAACCCTCATAACTTTTGCAGTTTATGTCGGATTTTCAAAATTTTATGCTTAAAATTCAAAAGTCGAAATTTTTGACAAAAAAATAAAAATAAAAAATTTTAATTTTTGAATATTTTTAGCATTTTTTCGACGAACCCCATTTCTAAGAAAATTAAAATTTGCGAAAAGTTAAAAGCGATAATTTTGGAAAAAATTTCATGGATAAGAAAGTTGAACTCCTTGTCATGATTTTTGCCAAAAATTTTGAAAATCCGTCCAGGATTTCAAAAGTTATGCGGTTTAAATAAAACATCAAATTTAATTTGGCGCCACGGCACACGCCAAATATGAGTTTTACACGGAAATATGAATGAATCCTTCATCTGGGGTCCTAGTAGATTCTAAAAAACATAGGGTACCCTGGACTCAAACGACAGGTCGTGAGTGTCCCTTGTCAGTCGGACTCGATGCTTCTCTGTTGGCTGCCACCACCAGACTCTGCAATTTACATAATTTATTAATTTTGGTTGGAATTTAAAGGATTTTTTCTTAAATTGGGTTCCTGAATTTCTGAATTTCTGAAATTTACCGTTCATTTCAATCTCAAAATTACTTTAAATACTCTTTATGTTCATAAAGTATTATTTTCCAACCTTAAAGAATTACCATCTTCTTAAAAACTAGAGGCCAATGTGGTACACAATTTGTCAATCTGTTATAAGATTTTGAAAAACTGTTTTTTTAAATTTTGACAATTTTCTAAATCCATTTTTTCAATAAACTGTATCTAATTACTACTTTAACATTCTTTATTCTTAAAATTTTCGTTTTCGACGTTAAAGATTTACTTTTAAAAATTAGAATATGCTTTACGTATTTTACTCTTCAAAAGGGTTAAATACTTTATTTTGGTGGTAATTTTCGTACACAGGGTTTAAATTTCCA